TGCCGGGCCAGTAACATAAGTGACAGGCGTTATATTTTATTATATATAATTAACGTATGAAAAAAATCTGATTAGTAAATAAAAAATTATAGGAAACAATTACCGCATTGGTCCAATTATAGGGCGATCTCGAAAATAAGGCGACTCCATTTTCAGAAACCATGGGAAAGGAAAAAAAATGAGTGCCATAAAGTTCTTTTTTTAGGTCTGCAAAATCAATACTATAACTGAACAGCCTGCAGATGGATTAATTGCTAGAATTAGTGATGGCACACATGCGTAGACAGATGCTATCTGGACAATCAGGAATGCGAAAGGCTTGAGTAGTGAGAAGGGGCTGTGGTCGGCCGCGATTATAAGGCGACTATGAGTTTTACAGTCTAATTATTAATAAAAAACATCGTCTTATAATCGGGCCAAGACGATATGTTGGATGTATATAAAGTTATAAAACTTAGACACTATCGACAAAGAACAAGGGTGCGAGTAAAACAGAAGCTATGATTTTTTTCCAATAATGAAATGTAAGTAGAAGAGTAAATCTTACCTTTCGATATCTCACAACTGACAGTCTCTTTAAATATATGTTCATTAAAATCACCTTTTGGCACGTTATTGAAGGCAACCAGTTTTTCTTCTATAGCTGCTACTACTGACTTTGGAACTTAGCATAGACAATAATGTTTTCGAATGTTTATACTCCATGGGGAAAATCATGTTCTCTCTCCCACTGACTCAGTCTGAGACACCTCCTTTGGTGTCATGTTTAACTGATCATTGGCCGCAGGAAATTTTTCCATACAAAACAAGAACTGACCATTCCTATTTTAAATCAGTGTTACTGCTTTTGTGATCGGGACGGCCTTTTATCCATCTATTTTAGCTTGAAATAAACAGCTACAATAAGATGTGGGCATATTAAAATACACGAATATTTATTTACCACCATGGGAGAGTCGAGTACTGAAGAGATACAAGTACTTCTTGTTGCTCTTTGATCTTCTTGGAAAAACTGGACATTAATTATAGATCTTCAGCTAGATTCTAGTTGTGCAGTTTTTTAATTCCCCAATGGAATAAGTGCCGAAGAAAAATTTGCAAAACAATTCTTAAAGGCTTGCATATGACTAGCGTGTAGTACCCTAATTGACAATTGGAAAACAATAATTTTATTTTGATTGTTTGTTTGTAATTAAGCACAAAGCTACACAATGGACTATCTGTGTTCTGCCCACCACGGGTATCGAAACCCGGATTCTAGCATTGTAAGTCCGCAGACATACCGCTGTGCCACTAGGGGCTTTAGTTTTTATATGATTAGAACAGTCTACGTCTACATACAAACTTCAGTGTCCAGTGTATTAGATCCTCTGATCAGTGTCTCAAAGGACATATGCTTAGAAGGCAGAATCGTAATTCATTTTGCGATTACGTCGGCTACAGAGTCGAAATACCAGGTATGCAATTAGTTTTGATGAGAAATGAACAGCCTACAACATTTCACTTTTGCCATTTAATAATTTTTTCCGATTTTGTAGTACTCAAATGTTGTATGCTTCCTGCAACAATGATCCAACTTAACATAGTTGTTAAGTGATTTTGAAGATTAAACCTCTGTACATTGGTATCTTCAACTCCAATCTCCTGTAATGTTGTGTGAGATCGTTATTTATTGGTGTTTCGTTGCACTTTTAATTTGTAATATCTCTTTGTTCAAAAGAGATCATTAATACTTTAAAATGAACAGGTAGAACACCAACTAACCAATCAATTATACCAGTAAATGGAAAATAAAGTTTGAACATAATATAATTTTGTAACTGGTTCTGTTAACGAAGGAAAATGTAATTTCCTTCAGTGTACATCAACTTTTTGAAGCTAAACTTTTAATGATTATATACTGCCATATAGTATTTATTACAAACTCAAGTGATTGCTTTAGTAAAATTACATATATGAATATTTTTAAAAACAATCAAATGACATTCTAATTTTGATATAAACTCGAAAACCTATATTTATGAATTAAATTTTATATTAGACTGCTAATATGTCGAACGATATGAATATGCATTTAATTACATAGCTGGCGTCATCACTATAAACACAATGCTGCTGCTTCTGTTTTTCTATAACCATAATTCTTCTATAAAGGTTTTAATCTCACTGGAAACCCAATGAAGAGCTGTTGCCTGAAACATTGTGTCCGTGTTCACTAATACAATTATTCTAATTTGCGAGCTTTTCACAATTATCATATTTTATATTTTATGACAGGATATTCAGTCTGTTTACCCTACCAACCTTGAAACAGAGAGAAGTTCATTTTTCACTTTTAATTCTGACCAGTGATTAAGTTTTTAATCATTGCAGACAGACACAAGTCCTATATTTTGTTGCTTGCCCACCTAACGTTTTAAGAGCTAAACATTATCTCATCCAATTGGAAAATAATATATTGATTCCCAAGTTAACATAACGTTTTGGGACAACATGGGACCTATTAGTCCATCTCGGCTGTTCCATCCTTTAAACTAAACTAAAACTATTAATAAATAAACTTTCAAAAAATCTTAAAGCCAACCTTTGTCATTCATATACTTATCAAGGTTTTCCTTAAACTCACTTAACTTTACTGCCTCCACAACATCCAAAGGCAACCTATTCCAAAGGCCAACCACCCTGTTAGAAAAATAAAACTGTCTTTGCTGAAGATGACTCCTACCTTACCAAAATATATATTTGTGTTCCCTAGTCTTACTATTGTCACTATTAAGTATGAAAAAGGATGATACATCAACACTATCAATTCTTTTTCAATCTTAAATACTTCAATCAGACCCGCCCTAACTCTTCTTTTTTCAAGAGAAAACAATTTGAGAGATTTCAACCTCTCCTCGTATGACAACCCTTCCATCCCAAGCACCATTCTAGTAACCCTTCTCTGAACCCTATCCAACAACTCAATATCTTTCCTAAAATAATGAGCCCAAGACCGAACACAGTATTCCAAATGTGGCCTAACCAGTGACCTGTACAATGAAATTATAACCTCTTTAGACTTGTATTTAATATTTCTGTAGATACAATCTAAAATCCAATTTGCCCTACCACTAGCAACAGCACACTGCTTGTATGGCTTTAGAGACTGATTGAATATTACACCAAGATCCCTTTCCTTCATAACAATGTTAAGGTTATTCCTATCCAAATTATACTTATAATTCAAATTATGATAACCCACATGGATTACCTTGTATTTATTATAATTAAACCCATCTGCCATTTATTTGCCCAACTCACTAAATGATCTAAATTCTTTTGTAAGTCAGCAACATTATCTTCACAGCTAGCAACATCTAAGACCTTAATATCATCTGCAAATTTATGTAATTTATTGACTCTCCGTTCATCTATCATTTATGTGAATAAAAAAGAGCAAATGTTCTATAACTGAGCCCTGAGATACCCCACTTGTGACATTAATCCAGTTTGAATGAACTCCATTTGGAACAACCTTATGCTTTCATCCATCCAGCCACTCTTCTATCCAATTTATCCCCCCACACCTATAAAGATATTTTTTTTACAAGCCTTTTATATGGCACCTTGTCAAATACTTTCTAAAAATTCAGATGCACCTAATCTTCACCCTTACCCTCATCTACATAAGTAGTAACCTTTTCAAAGAATGTCAAACGATTTGTAAGAAAAGATTTTTCCCTTAGTGAAACCATGTTGACTATTCATTAAATTCTAAACTTTGTTAACTAATTTTGCAAGGCATCTTTCAACAACTTTCCAAAACGTTTTCCACAACTGATATAAAGTTGATGGGTCTATAATTACTGGGAATAGTTACATTAGCTAACTTTCAAACCTCTGGTACTTGCCCACTATGCAAGGACTGACAAAAAATTGTAGTAAGTGGCTCATATATCTATTCTTTAACCTCCTTCAAAACTCTTGGGGAAATATTATTTGGCCCAGGAGCATTATCATCTTTGAAACTTCCCAATTTTTCTTAACAAGCTCAGAGTTAATGCAGTCATCTTGTTTGATCTTGTTGCCATTTATCAACTGTTCAAGATGCGAAATACTGTTTAAATCTTCATTAGTAAAAACTGAAGAAAAAGCAAAATTTAATACCCCAGCCATCTCCTACTCATCAGATTCTAGCCTTCCTTTATCATTCCTCAAGGATCCTACCCCATCCTAACATTTTGTTTACCCTTAATGTATTTAAAGAAATCCTTATTAATTTTTACATTTTCATCCAAACTTTTCTCATAAATCCTTTTTGATGTCCTAATTTCTTGTTTCACCAACTTTCTCGATCTTCTATAATCTTCTGTCATAACAGTCAATTTAAACTACTTAAATTTATGATGCTTTAATTTTATCTCTTAAACTCTTTATAAGCCAACCTGTTTTTTTACTTGCTGCTACCCTTTTTATTCTATAAGGAATATGTTTACCTTTAATATTTAAAAATTTATCATTAAAAATGTTCCACATCCGAACAGTGTCTCCAGATAACTCAGCTGCCCTTTTGTGAAATTGTGAAAACATTTAAAATGTTACACTAGACATCACTGCCAAAGTCTGATGCTTCCACTAATTTACTATTCAAATATAAAATTGTCTAATAATTGTATTAAAACTGCCCTTATTGACAGAATATTGCATCAGTATCACATATAATAGGATATCACATTCTCACTTTTACCTGCATTAATTCATAAATTATTCCACTGAACCATCTCAAAATCATGTAACAAATATTATAAAACTACGTCTTTGTATTCTATCCATTATTTGCTGTAAGAGGTTATACCATACATCCTAGAACAGCAGTTGCAAATGTTTCAATCATTTAGATTCAAAGAAATATTCAAAATGATAGGTTGGAAAATATCCAACAGTAACACAGACTTCTTCATTTAATTGCTGTAGTTACAGGTAAAAAATAAATACAATTCAAAACAATACTTTTTTACCTCAATTTTGATGGTTTCATGACCTTCAAACACAAGTTTCTGCAAATCAGGTTTGAAATTGATGTTGTAGTGAATTGGAAGTACACTTGTAGGCAGTCGTTCAAATGGTTTGGAAACTGAAGTAGAATCTGGCATGTTTCACTTGTCTGAATCTTCAAACCTGGAACTAAAATTGAAAAATATCCTAAAACCTAGCAGTTAATAAATAAAACTCAACTTGCTTTTAGTATAAGATTTCTTTTTTCATTAATTATTCACTGCTTTTGACTTAGGTTATCCCAGTTGATATAATGCATCTTGATTATCAGAAAACCACTGATAAGGTGATTCACAAGAGGATTATTAGTACACTGGATGCTTATGGAATTATAGGAACAGCTGAGAAGTAGAGAGAAACCCCGAGTTGCACTAGAAAGGAAATAAATTAGCATTCTATCAATTCATGTAACTAGTGGTGTACCTTGAAAATCTTTTGTGTGTGCGTGTGTGTGTGTAAAGGGAAGATATCTTCCTGCTCATTATGAAACTGATTTCGATACTTGGACACGTACACAGATATATATATATATATATATATATATATTGCTGATGACTCTAAGATGCTGAGGAGGATTTACTTTATTGAGGATAATTTACTCAATGAAAAAAATACATACAGCCTAACAGACAAGGAAGGAACATTAAAAATTAGTTTAATATCCAGAAGTGTAAATATATGCACTTGGGGTATGACAATACAAAAACATCTTAATGTAGACCTTGGAAAACAGAAACATCAGTGGAAATTTAAAAGGATGTAAATGCAATTATTCATAAAAAGTTCTAAACGTAAGTACAAGGTAAAGCACTGAGGTACCATATTTTTCGGTGTATAAGACGCACTTTTTTACCCCAAAATTTGATGTCAAAATCT